ATTAAATACCTACTCCCCCTTCTCTATTACATGTTTTGAGTGTGTCTGTTGGTATAACTTCCCACATCTCCTTCTTTTTGTGTTTTTTCCCCCTTCATGTCCATCTTTCTTTAACAGTGCACACACAGATCAGACAGGCTATGATGTGTGCACAGCTGGTCTTGACAGAGCCGTCCAGGAAACGCGTGGTTTACAGATCCCCTGTTGACACGCTGATTTGAATTGCCTTTTTCCTTTTCAAAAACCTGGAATTTTTACTGTGCAGGGAACATTGAGGTCCGACTCAGCATGTTTGACCACGGTGGAAAACCAATCTCAGTGTGCTGCGTCCTGACTGACTGACTGATTTACTGAGTGGATATGTCACAGTGCATACTGTAAAGCTCAATCCAAAATCTTGATTTCTTACCACACATGCACTGGCCCCACACCTGCTCACACCATTTGTTACAAAGATTCTGTACCATTAGTTTCTTTAAAATGCTATTCCCACGCCTTGGTTTTATGGAAACAGTAATATCCAAGTTGTTAAGTTACAGGCAGAGACTACAGACATACTAAATCTGAAGCTACGCCATCCTAAAAGTTACACCTTAGGGCCAAAAGCTATGCAATAAAGTTTGGTTCACTTCACTCACTTGATTGAAAAGACAGGATTTTAATGGTTCTGACCAGTGAACCATTCTTTTCAGGTTAGCGTAAAATCAATCTGCAACGTGAGGCATTCACATTGTTGGTTTAAGAGGTTAGAGTGATAGTTCAGCATTATGCAAAATACAGTTGCTTACTTTCTTGTCAAAAATTAAACTAAAAGATCAAATTTTGTGTCTAACAGGAGGAAACAGCCACTGTGTATACCAGAGGTTTCCAGGGGTGTCATATGTGTCAAACCCATTTTAGTTCATGGGCCACATGCAGTCCCAGTTCACTGGCCTGTAAAACCCATGCATAATAATATGTATAAAATAATAATGATGATAATAAGACGAAAAACCTTGAAAATTTCCCCAGTGGAATGAAACATTAAAAAGCTCACATTTAATGAACCAGCTTTTTACAAAACAGACGACGAACAGCCTGAAGTGTCTCATTGAAAACAAAATACTCTAAGCTTAATTCAACAGTACATCTCAGTTTTTTCACATTTGCTCATCTTCACATGAAGTAGGCCACTTAGATCCAAACAACAACCAAATTTTACATCTTTATGAGTCAAATAACTTTTGTCAACATCTTTCAAAACTTGTAAAATTACCCAGACATTCCCAACCTCTGCAGTAATGCTGCAATCACCTAATTTTCAGCAATAGCATTCTCTTCCTTTGAAGTGCTGTAATTATTAATGACTTTGCTGCACTTTTACACATTGCAAACCCATGCGCTGGGTCCAATTGGATCCTTTGGCAGGCTGGCTCTGGCTCCATATGTTTGAGGCTCCTTCTCTAAGGAGTCACTACTTCTAGCCAAGAAAAAGCTTCAGCTTTATATTTAACAGACGTACATGGGAGTGGTAACTCTTAACATCTAGGCCTGTAATGTACAGTATCATGCCAAAAACATGCTAGTTGTAGGGCTGCGCGGTGTATGCAGTATGTGTCACGCCTTCCACTACACACTCATTGCATAATGCTAATTATATCATTCAATTGAGAATACAAAGCTTAGTAAACAAATCCAATAGAGTGGGATATGCCACCGGAGTGTAAACATTAAATTGACTTAGCCCTGTGTCTTCCCTCACAATTGCAGTGCAGTGGGTTACAGTGGCCATATGGGCTCCGTCAAGCATTACTGTCACCCCTCATTTAGAATAGTGAGGAGAGATGGCCCTGCTATGTCCTTCAAATCCTCTTAGCCAACATTTAGCTGATTGATTTTTTCTCCCCCTCCTACCTCGATTTAGATCATCAATGCGATAAAAGCAGGAAGTTGTATATTATGAATTCCATTTCGTCTCATGTGGAGATGGATGGACGGGTAAAAGGAACATAAATGTTTCAGCAATCACTGCGTCTGGAAGAAAAATATCCAGGCAGCGTTATTAAATTTAAAGGCGGCGCAAACTCAGTAAAAGAAGCGAATGATCTGAGTGTGATTCAATCCTTTCGGCAAATAACCTGTGTCACATGGAGGAGGACTCGTCGCCTGTTGTGATTGCATATATATAAAAAGTTTGTCCGGTTATTTAAGAATAAATGTACTTCTTCAATTACATAAAAGTTTTGCTGCTGTGTTTTAGTGGGAGCTGGCAAAATCAACTTTGAATCACATGCGCATTATAATGATGTCTTTTTAAAAATTATTCACCCCCCTGTCTGTTTAATTCTTAGTGCCGGCCTCCATCACAAAGAACCATGGTAATAGTTTTGACTCAGCAGAATAGCATTAAGTTGGTTCCTCTTAAACAATGTATTCCCCTTCAGGCTATAGAAACCACTCTGTGCATTAAACAAACATCTCAGGCCTCTTGAACATGACGTTCAGCTCCATGTTGGCTGGGTTTGGGGATTCCAGCAGACCGAGTCCTATGTGTTCTCCAGATGGCACCACACACTGTCTCTCGCAGATTGTATATACCCCCGAGATCCCTCATAAATTCAAATGATTGCCTCCTCCCCACCCCCATCCTCTCCCCTTGAACTATACTAAATGATGATCATGGAGATTATGTATTAGTAATTCCTGCCAGGTCTTTAAAAGAATGCCCATGCTGTGTGCTTAATACTCAAAGGAGGGATTATGCAGACCCCTACATGTGGTGTTGTGGCTGCATACCTCCAGTCAGACTAAACCCAATCTGTTACAGATTTGGACTAAAAGAAGAGAGGTGCAGCAAGCAAGCAGGGGGGTAGGTGGAAGGTTGCACAGGCCATATTCATACTTTACAGTACATTCCACTTCTTCTATATCATGGGGGATCAGAGCTAAATCTCCCTTTGGAGGTTGTATTTTTATCTGTGTGCATAAGGACGTTAAAAAAAAGAAAAGAAAGAACCTTGGCTTGTGTCAAGGCTATACGCTTTATTATTTTTCTCTCAATCTCTCTTTTTCTCCTTCATTTTTTATTTTCCCTTTGTGGTCGAGGCAATCCCAAATCCCCATACAGCTTCCCCTTGAATGTGGGTCCAATTAAACACATATGTGGATTTTCATATTGAAGCTCATAAAAGGTAAACGGCAGTGATTTACATTACATTTACATAAGGAATGCTAAGTGCCTGCACATGTGAGGTGTTAATACATCTATCAAAAGCAGATGGTCATCTCTATTCATTGCTCTCACCCCGATTGTTTCATTGACCAAAAGAATCTCATGAGCAGGGATGTTATTTTCGAAACATGGAAAAAAACCATAAGCATATTATTTGTTATGAGGAAAGGGCAAACATCTAAACATTTGCAAATATCTACCCAGTCACCAGTCTGTTTCAACCAACAGGTGACGTCTTTTTTTGCTTTATCAGAGTAAACTCCTGTCTTAGTCACTATGTTAGCAGCAGCCTGGGTCTAAAGAGCACGTACAGAATGTCTGTTATAAGTTAACTTTTTATTGCATTTGTGTAAACAGTAAAATTTGATTTACTGGTACATCCTACACATCCTTTACAGCACATAATTCCAAGAGATCGTTTGGCAATGAATGCTTTTTCTGTGGAGTTCGGGAACTTGGCATGAGTGATCCGGTTAGACTTTATGAGTTAGATCAGCCAACGTGTAAAGGTTTGTGTGCTGTTAAGTGAATGATTTAATGCCACAGCTATCAGTGGCCAAAGTGTAGCAAATCATTAGAGGTGTAATGGTTTAAAGTCCAAAGGCTGCTCTCTGGTTGTGTCCTCCCATGTGCATTTGTGTTTCAAGATTTTCAGGCCACTTGTGTACATTGAATGTGAGTTGGCATCAATTTGGCCCCTTAACAAATAATAATTTGTATTATGCTAAACAACCACATGCAGATATGCCACAAGTATGCTAATGTGGTAAGCTGTGAATTTTAAACATGTTCATTTTAAAATTCATATTTAAATCCTTGCCTTTACTAAAGTAGCTTCGCATGACTTACACTTCTAAACGATCCGTCTTAAACTGAGACTCGGTCTGAAACAAACTGCTACTCTGTCTTTATGCCAACTTTCCTCTGATTGGCTGCCCTTCAAAAATGGAGAGCTTGAACACCATGTGGGTGGGGTGCCGTGTTCAGACAGAGAAATGTGTCCAAGATGACCATTTTAAAGAGATTATCCCCATTTTTTTTGACATCATACAGATCCATCCATCTTCTTCCACTTATTCAATTCAGGTTCGTGGGAGGCTGTTGCCTAGCTCAGGTGTAGTAGGGTGAGAGTGAGAGGTTGTACACCTTGGAGAAGTCGCCAGTTTGTTGCAGGGCAACTTGAGACAGACAACCTTCAAACTCACCATCACACAAGTGGTCATTTTAGAAACACTTCATGTAGATCCAAGAGTAGAAAAAACTCTGAAAGAGTTCTGTGCCCCAAACTTGGTTTGTTAATTTGTTATTTATTTAATTCAAGTGATCAAACCTGTGGCTCTCTATTTTTTTTTTTTAACTAAATTTGACAATTCCTTAATTCTTCTTCATCACCTTCATCATCATAATATTTTCTTTATATGGCAAAAAAGGAAAGACAAAGCAAATATTTATCTTTGTATTTAAGAATAAGGTTAGCAGCACATTTCAGTCATTTGTTTACCAGTATCACATACCAAATAATATATGGGGAACAGCCTCAGTGATTCTCCTTTCCAAATAAATGTATTCAGACCATTACAGTAACTGCATGTGTCTCTAGTGCTTTGCTCAGAGACGGAGTACTGCTGCCCCCTAGCGCTGAAACGGCGCCAACGTTTCACTGCCGGAGCACAGTAAAGACGCCGATTAAGAACAGTCTGAAACGCTGATTGAATTCTAACAACCACGGCAACACAATGAAACAGAAGGTGAGTCTGTAATAATTTAAACAATTTGAATTTATTCAGTGTTTCCTTCCTTAATCCATTTTTCTTTTGCAAACATTCTGTCAGCAGACGAAGTTTACACGTTAATCTTCTGTTTCTTTTCATGAGAAGCGCTGCTCATTAACTTACAATCAAGCAAGGTTGGGGGAAAAAAATCCAAAGTATTGTGTGCGAGAAAACAAGTTTTCACTATCTGCCAGTCGGTGCCGTTATCAGTCAAGCCACACGCCCCCGTGAAAACAGGGAATTAAACACCCAAATGCACACACATACACTCACGCACACACACAGACAAACATCAGACTATTTGAAATCCAAAACAGCGATGCACAAACAGAAGTGTGGAAACTAGTGATTAGCTGTGCAGCAGAGGTATAATTGGAGCCTCTAATTACAGTATTGCCTCATTGTTCCTCTCTACCTCTAATTTACCACATTTACATCCCAGAAAAACAATCACTTTGGTTGGGATCATAATGGCTGAATGACTAGCATTAGCTGTGGTTAAACACAGATTTAGTTATAGATGCAATAAAAGCTCTTTTGTATTCACATAATGTTCATATCTCTGAAACAAAAGAGAACCATTAAGGACACGAAATGACAGAATAAAAGCTTCTACATGAAAGACGACACTGTGTGAAGCTATGTATACATTAGCATTATAAATGTATGCAGTATAGCCTGGCTACAAGTGCAAGCATCAAAGATATAATTACATATCAGGTGCTGGATAGTCCAGACACTACTTAAGCAGTAACTCTTGCAAAACTGCATGTAACAAAAATGTAAGAAACATAATTACATTGCATATTTGTTGCTATAGAAACATTTTCTTGTAGAAGAAAATTAAATACAAACCAAAGTCGCTGAGATGTCTAACTTTTCGCTCTAGCTTTGTAAATACTTCACAAATTAACCAAATACATTCCCGATTACCAACTTCAGATCAGCCATTATTTAAATTGGAAACTCGCGGCTGGATGGTCACCCGTCTGACCGGAGTCTGATCTGCGTTGCGATTGGCTACCAGCTCTTGAAGCTGTAGGGCCCCTCCACCAATGAAACAGAAAGCGGGGCACACGGGGCCGGTGCAATCCACGTGGCCTTCCCAAAGAGGCCGCAAGGAATGGGCATCGTAGAACGTGACGCGCCCTTTCTCAAAGTCAAGGCACACACCGAGCCGGGGCGGCAGCGGGTAAGTGAGGCCAGCGGGCGATGAATGGCCGTTGCTGTTGGTGTCCCGCTGTTGATGGTGGTAGCTGTGCTGCGGCAGGTAGATTTTACCCATCCCCATAGTCAGAAAGCAGAAGGGCGGCGCAGAATCCAGGGCATCCTCTGCGCCGCTGTCATGGCCGCTGTCTGGGTCGTAGCTGCAGAGAGACAGAGCGAGCTCTTAAGTTCTTTTCTGACCACCGTCTTTCTTTCTTTAAACTAGTTTTTGTGGCGTCGCAGTCACAGCATGTGTGACAAATGTTGGCAGGGAGTCAAGTATTTAGAGCCTCCTACTTTTTGCACACCAAAGATTTTGTTTATACTAAGTAGATACAATTAAACCTAATCTGTAATCCTATTTGAAGAGTGGATCCTAAACACACATAAATAAGCATTAATATTGTAGTAAATCGGAATTTGCATGATCATCACTGCTGGAGTTAAAATCTATTAGGCTGGATCTGGAGCTGTCATATTTTCTTTGCTCACCGGGGACTGGCCATGTCTTGTGGAAGGTGAAACCACTCCTGCAGTTTGGACTCCAGGCCCACTCCCACCTGTTCCAAAAAGAAAAGAGAAACAACCATTGTGTAATTGATGAAGAACTTATTTTTATAGCAAACCTCATTTAAGTTATCCAATTTTGTCCTTATTTTAATTAAGTGGATGCATTTTAAAGAATGGATTAGCCTTTTTCTTAAAACAATAGGAGTAACCATTGAAGCTCTTTTCTGAACTGAGCAGCTACCCTTGATTAAAAACCTGGAAACTATTCTAATGCTCATCAGACAATATCTTTATTAATATATACGAGGTATCAAAACCCATCATTAAGAATACATGGGAAGCTGTTGTATGTCACCCTTATTGGGGTAAATAAGGCTGACATATTTGATATGTCAGCCTTTTTGATATTGGCTGGGGCCTTTCTGGTACTCAGACGTTGTCCCAAGTAAGTTAAGTTAATTGGCAATTCTAATTTGTCCATAGGTGTGAAGGGCTGTCTGCCTCTCAATCTATGGCAGCTGGAATCTGCATTGAGAAAATAAATGATGTAGTTAAAACTCTGGAGTTTATATTACCTTTAAATAGAGCCATGGAGAAAAAGAGAATTACAGTTATTAGGTATATTAGTTTCAGTATAGTTTGGGTTATTTCACAAGTTGGAACCATTTGCTCATTTAGATTCGACAGCATTTCTAATAGATAACAGCAGATGGCGTAAGCATGAATTGAGGCTGCACTTTGGGGAAAGCCTCAGAGGGGATTGGCTGCGACTCCTAGACAAGGCAGATCCCCATCTACTAATGAGAGGTAAATAAATTGGAAAAGGGAGCAAGGGTGAGGCACGGAAATGAGAACAAACTGCTTGTAGTCCGCGTGGTGGGTTCATGTGTTCTCTGGGTTCGTGTCACTATTATAAGTGGATTAGGGCTCATTTTAAAAAGGAAGGCGGCAGACAGTGTGTTTAAATTCACACATATTTACACACACTTTGTCATTTCATTCAAACATTTCATTTTGGTTGAATGAAATGACAGAAGGCTGATCTTACATTGTACCAAATATGATGAAATCACACTTTAACTTCATTAACATATCATTCCCATTGAACCTTCCTCACACCAACTCTGAGGACATTTTAAATTTAGATTTTATGATTTTTTTTTTTTTTAATACCCTTAAAGCCGTACATCTCGGACCTCTGGGTATCACACAGGCCAGTTTGTACTTTGAGATTGTTTGGACAAAGAGGCCATTTGTCTGTTCTAGTGCTCTTCTTCAAACTAAAATAGAAACTGTTAAAAGGTAGTTTGCAGTCACGACACAAAAACATAAACATAAAAACACAAAAGTTTTATTTTCCTTGAGTTTCACTGACCACATTTGTTTTTATTAGTCTTTCTTAATCTGATGACCTGTGGCCTTAAGTAGTGCTCAAATTTGCTACTTTTTTTTAAGAAGATTAAAGCATTTTTAATCTGGAATATTAATTTTTTTTTTTTTTTAAAGTCTATACTATACTCTACACACAGTAATGGGAATATTGACCTGGCAGTACGTTTTCATGAAATGCTCAGTTCAATTCAGTTTTATTTAAATGGTGCCAAATCACAAGGACTTAAGGCACTTTATATTATAAGTATAGATCCTGCAATAATATGGAGAAAACAGAAAACCCCAACAATCAGATTAAACCCTATGAGCAAGCACTTTGTCAACAGTGGGGGGGCGGTGGGGGGCTGAGGGGAGGAAGACAGAACAGAGACACTTTGCGGAAAAAAAGGCAAAGATTAATAATAACCAATGATTGTTGAAATGTGTGCACATGAATTCACTTGCCTTCACAAGGTAAGACCCAGGCTCCACTGAGCATGCCCAGTAGTGCCGTCCTTGTGTAATGGCTACATCCCCTACAAGTAGGTCAGAAGTCAGGTGACAGGAAGTTAGGGCGTGGTCGGCAGCCTGCAGCAGAGAGAGACCAGGAACACTGCGGGCACAACGCTGCTCTTTGCTGACCACCAGGCGGTCGGCATGGAGACCCCAGCGAGAGTCCAGGTAGAAGTTAAGCACTGAGAGGAAAGAGTGTGACAGAGGACACAGCAGAGGGAGGGGAGAGAAGAAGAGAACGGAGGCAAGAAAGAGGGAAAATTGAGAAAACAAAGGGACAGGTGCATACAGAGATGACACATGGGGGTTTTAGAAGTGACAGGAGGTGACAGACAGATTTACAATCAGAAAACGGCAAAGAGAAAAACAGTGAGGAGAATAAGAAGCAGCTGAGAGGAGAGCCAAGAGGGAGAGGACCACAGAGTAGGCATGCACCTCCTTCCACCAGCACTGGAAGAGAAAAGGACACTGGTCCACACAATGCACTGATGACTCAGGAAGTAAAATACAGAAGCTTTGGCAGCGTTAAGTGCAGTATTTCCACAGGAAGTACAGTGGGAAGATATGCAATAGCAGGAAGGAAACAACAGCCAACAAGGACACGAGGAATTCAACAATCACTCAAATCGATGGTTAAAAAGCCCTAGATCTGAATCAGATCCATGTTGTTAAGCCTCAGGTCTTAACAAACCGCAAACCTCATCAGCACTCAGACAGATCTCGTTACAGGAGCTAAAGTGGGAGGCGGAGGGATGAGTGGGTGTCTAAGCAGGGGTGGAAGAACAGAGGATGTGTGGGATGACCGTAAAGAGAAACAGGGAAAAGACCAAATAATTTAGTGGTATGGGGTACAGAGATTTGGTGAGAGGATACGTATGAGTGCACTTCTTACGTTCTGTAGGAGGCACGTAGTTTGGCAGCGTGGAAGTAGCACAGTTGAGGATGACAAGTAGAAAGCTGTGAAATGGAAATAATACATGAGAGAAAGATGAGGAAATAAAGAGTAAGAAAGTGAAGATGATTCAAAAGTGAAGAGAGAGAGAGAAGTGGAAATAATTGAGAAAGGAAAAATTGGAATGACAGAAAAGAAAAGAGAATGGATTTTTAAGCATTTCACCACAGCAAGCATTCCAATGCTTTCATTTTAAATGAAAAAACAAAAAATGGGTGCGATGTGGTGAACGTGTCAAGTGTGTATGATGCATTTTACACTCAACAGAGGGATAAACCATCCGAATTCATATCTCCTTTCATAGTAATTATAACATATTTGATACTGTCTAAAGACCTTGGGGTCTTGAGGTACAGCAAATGTATTTGGAAGAGTAACAGAGATGCCTGTTGTATTTAGCTACGCTAGTTTAAAAAAAAAAAAAAAAACACCTTAGGCACAAAATGCCTGCAACAAAAGACGTTGCGAGCCAAGAACTGTTTACTGGGTGTTTACTCTGGGTATGTTTTCTTACAGTTTTACCTCCAGCATGCACAGTTACTGTGAGCTAAGTTAATGTTGGTGCCAGTTTCTGTGTTTCTGTTACAAGCAACGTGCCTACATGGCGAGAGAATCAGACAAAATAAATCAGAAAATAAAGTCCAAGTAATAAAGCTTTCACCAAGAAAAGTGGGCTGCGTGTTTACACCGTTTTTCTTGTTTATTTATTTTCTGCAGTTGCTTTTGTTTCAGGTATTAATATTTTCATACTTTTGAGGATTGTGGTTTGTACAGTGCACATTGTTAACCCTGCAAGATGTGAATGACACTAAAACACATGCAGTTCATTAAGGTGTGCTAAGAGTCTCCTGACGATTCTTCCATGTTGGGAGCTGGGACTAAAATCAGGTTGGACTGCTCCTTTAAACCAGCTCTGCATAAGAGTCTAACCTAAAGATGTTCAAGGGAATCTGATCGCAGGTCAGGTAAATTAAACTACTCGTGGAATGTACATAACAAGCAAATTTTTATCACATTATGGCTTTTCAAGTGACTTAAAATGTGACTCTTGTCTAACAAATTTACAGTTTCCGTACAGTGCTGTGATTGTACTGTTGAAGTATTTTCCACCTTCCTGATTTCTTACTTTCATGCATATTTATCCCAAATTTAATGTTTCAGATCATCAATTGAATTCTAATATCAGAAAAACATTACCAGAGTAAATACAAAATGCTGTTTTTAAATAGTGATTCCATTAATTAAAGTGGAAAAAGTTACCTGGACCTGTATGGAAAAAGTAATTATCTCCCTTGTTAAATCCTTAATTAACTGTGATTAACAACATTTTTTTGGACAGATGAATTTAATTTAACATGTCCCACCCAGGCCCGATTGAATCTAGAATCACTTAAAAAGAAGCTGTCTGATAGTGAAGTAAGCTAAAAGATCTGAAAAAGCAACACATTATGCCACAATCTAAAGAAAAAGATGAGAAACAAAATGAGTGACATCTCTCAGTCTTGAAAGGGTTACCAAGGCCATTTCTAAGAGTTTGGGCCATCAACAAACCACAAAGTTCTCCTCCACTCTTTAACCAGGGGTGGCCAGCCAAAAAAAAAGCCAAAAAACATACTGATAATCCCAAAGACTTTTGAGAAAATATTCAGTGGACTGATGACTGAGACTAAAGTTGAACTTTTTGGAAGGTTTTGAAGGTTTGCTGCTCATAAAATCCAAGATAAAACTAACATAAAAGCACTCGTGCAACAGTCAAATATGGTTGTGGTAGTGTGACACGCAAAACCCTCCAGTTTGGCAGAATTACAACAAAAATCCTCCAGAGCCGGACTGACTGGGAGAATCACTCACTGGCAGGTGTTGCAAAAGCTGGATTGCAGTTCTTGCTGCCATCACAACCAATGACTAGGTTTAGGGGGCAATTATTTGTTCACACATGGCCGTGTAGGCTTGGATAGCTTCCCCCTCGCTAATAATTGAAATCATCATTTAAGAACTTTAAATCATCATACAAAAACATGCTTTTTGCATTTGCATTATCTTCGTCTAATACTAAAATTAGTTTGATGATCTGAAACATGTAAGTGTGACATATGAAGAAAACTAAGACAGATGGGGCGAATACTTTTACACAACAGTGTTTATACACAGCATGTTTATTATCAGTTAGCTTGGTGAAAGAGAGATACAATCATAAGGTGATAATTCTGACAAAGTCACAGTGCTTACAGAGGCCGCCTGTGCAGAAAATTTAAAAAACTTTATGCAGGAAACCATCTGAACCTTTTTGAAGCAATGCCTGAAAGTCACTGCACTTTAAACTGGGATGCAATTGCTTGGTGTCATAGTCATGATTATTGATTGGGGTAAATGTTGAGTCGGCAGATAAGATCTCATAAATAAAACATTGACTCCCAAAAATATATATTTGGTATAAAACTGGTTGTAGTCCAGTTTCAAGGTGTGGTTGCTTTCCCACGATAATCTGTGACATGCATGTAAACAACCTCACGTCAAACTAGTTTGACATGTTTCTGGTTTGTTTGTTGTTTTTCTTCCTCAAACAGTCGTCCTGTTCAGTTGTTAATAAGGACAACTAAGAAGCTCAGTGTGTACCCTCACCTGGTGCAGGCGGGGTGTGCAGGTACACCTCCTCACTGTACTCTCCGTAGCCCGCCTTGTTGCAGCCTCTCACCCGCAGCACGTACACGCTGTCCATTTCCAACCTGTCAATCACAGCACTGCTTCCACTCACTTCGTCCAATCGCTGCCAGCCCCAGCGTGCAGCAGCCAGTCCTCCTCTGATCCCACCTCTGGACGCTCCTCCTGGTACTACACCACGACGGCGATACTCTACAGAAAAGTGCCAGGATGGTGCAGACTCCAGGGGCAGTCGCCAGCACAAGAACAGCTGGTCGTAGGCCAGACTACGCTGGGTATCGATCACTGGAGCCAAGGGCACTATGGCAATAACATAATGATTAGATCAAATTTTTAAGTTATGTTATATATGTAATAATTCTATAACCCACTCGCATGTAATTGGTATGAAATTATTTAGACAGTGAATGTTTAATTAGAAAGTCAATAGAAAACTTGCTCTTATGCTATTTCATTCGTATCTTTTTTTTTAACCTTCAACTAGAACCCTCCTCACCCTGGATGAAGTTCAACTCTGTCAGGAGTTTAAGTTCTTTGGAGACGTCCAGCTGGAAGTGTCTGAATGATGGATCGGCCGCTAGTGTGAAATGTTGCAGATTCTCAATTGCTTTACTCAGCCTAGTGCAGTGAAAACAGAGAGAGCGGCGTCAGAGGAATCAAAGGCTTTCAGGAGGGACAGTGAGGAAGACTCAGTTTAAAAGGACGTATGAAAAAGAAAATAAATTAATAAATAAAAGATAAGACTGCTTTTAATCTATATTTCTATTATAATAAAAAACATAAACAGCACATTAGTGACATCCCTTCAGTTTTTATTTCCAGATACTGTGCTGTATGTGGGGCTTTCCTTATTTCCTTTCACGTATTTACATTTGAACCTAGCCAGGGTGTTCCCTGCCTCCTCTCTGATGGATATTTACTTTTACAATAACAGATGCAACAATAAACTGAACTTTCCAATAATGAGTTAAGGGTATGCACAAATAGTCCCAGTAAATGTAATAAAATAGGCAGCCAGTCATAAGAATGTAGGCCCAAAGGTGCAAGGGAGCTAAAACAGCTTGTTACAGAAAGAAAATAACAAAGGGGCTTATTATTATATAAACAAGACTCATGCAAAGCAACTCCAAGAATAAAAATATG